CCGATCTGGGCGGGGTTGTTGTAGCCGCTACAACAACAACAACAACATCCTAATTTATGAATTCGAAATTTTGTACTAGAAGCGAAAAACTGTTTAAACTTGTAAGAAATGCTTTCAGGGCAGCTCGGCCAAACACTAACAAATTGTGTTAGCGCAAATCTATTATTATGCTATTATTAATAGTATGTTCCCAAAAATTATAAAGCAAAACGAAAAAAAAAAAAATTTTTTCCCAATTTGTTTTGGTCTTGCATGTTAAATTATGGGAACGATTTGTTCACATGGAAATGACAATAATGCTAAATATAAAAGCCCTTCCATAAGGCTTCCCTCAGAGTAAAGACATTCCACTCTGCATTCCTTTCCACAAAACCATACAAGGGCTTCTGTATTGAATGTAGGTGGAGTTCAGCTTTAGCTGCGTCTTTGATTCATAAATATCAAACTTCTTAAGGTAGGTATTTATCTAAGGTTTAGATCGAATATGTTTTCTTGCAACTTAAATACATATTGAAATTTATCTGTAATGCTAAATAATGGTGGCTATCACAGAATCCTCCACAGTCTAATTTTTCGTGAAATCGAAGAAAATGCGATCACTGAATCCGAATTGCTACGAACGCATGTATTCAAAGGTATATGCTACGTTCGTACATAGCTATTCAAATTCATTTTAAAAGACTTTTTATCCCTTTTTGGAGCCGAGAGGTTGTTGTTGTTGTTGTAGCAGCATACAAGTTCCCCAAAGGATTTTTGGGGAGTTTGCTGGAGTGACAGTTCTTGGCCAGATATAAATCTGGGTCGTTCCGGTTTCGTAGACCCGACTGTCGTGGGAACGAGGTCGAGAGGTCCTCCCATCTGCATTCTTTTTTTTTTTTTTTGTAGGAGAGCACAACTTGAAGGGCATCTGCTTTTGCTATTCATAGAAGGGCTTTTGTACGTAATTCGGGAGATCTTTGGAGGAGCTCTTCTACAGCTGCTTCCTTAATTCATAAATATTATATTTCTTTAACGTTTTTATTTAAAGTTCATGTCAAGATAGATAATCAACTTATCATGAGTTTAATTTTCCCCGAACCGGTTCACTTTTCACTCTTGGTTTCCATGGTTTTACTATGGGCGGATGACAAATTTTCGGGTGATTCCTTTTTTTCCTGGTGAAACTCGGGATAAAGCAGAATATAATTTCAGGAGCCAAAGCCCTTTCGAAAGGCCGGGACCCATAGAAGGACTCCCAGAAGGGCTTTTATAGGATGTCTTTCAGAAGGCCTTTTGTAAGAGTTCTTATAAAGCTGCTTCTTTAATTCATAAAAATTACACTTCTTATTGGGTAGGCCTTTTAGAATGGCTTTACTTAAGAAGGCCTACCTTACTTTCGAGTAAATTGTAACCGAGAAAACCCTTCCAGAAGGCAAGCAGAAATTCTTGGGTAAGTCTTTTAGAATTGCTTCACTTAGGAAGGTCAACCGAAAGTATATTCTGGGAAATTAATGGAATATTGAACAACAAGAACTCCCGAAAAAATGCCAAATAGGGCCTTTGCATTGATTTGGACGAAGTATACATGTTGACACATATTTATGTTTTTTTTTTTTTGTTTGTAATCATCATAAGGTATTTTCTTTCCGGAACACAAAGAACCACAAGCGCTTGACTCGAGTGTGGCTAAAAAGCAATCAACCTGTGCGCTTGAGGTGGATATTGGATCTAATTTCATTTTAAACCGATTTCAGCTGACTTTGCATAGTAACGACACCAAAACGCACTCGAATCCAGGTATCGAGGCTATTTGGAATGATGAGCGCTTACGTAGGCAGAGAATGGCTGAAAAACGAGTGGAAAATGTAAATAAGCACAGTAAATCTTAACAGAGCAATGAAAAATCATAATAACTTGTTATTTTTGTAGGTACCCCCTTTGGAAATACCAGCCTCTCAAGAGCGCACCAATGTACCGTCCGTTGAGAGTGAGATTTTTCATAAAACAGTTTTGCAAAGCAAATTATTGGCTTTAAATTTGTCAACAACTTTTAGCGGCTGCCAGTTGGATCAATCTATAAACTCCACGCTTCAGACAAGTATTGTCAATTTTCCTTCAGGTGATGCTGGCGGTAGGGATCAGGTAAAGTCATTGGCTGATATAACCTTGAGTAACAAAATTTTATACAATGCAAATAATTTTAGAAACGTACATTTAATCTGAGTAAAATAGTTGGGAATGCTATTTATCCTGAAGAGTGCACACCAAATGAAAATCTAATCAACGCCTCCTTTATAGAAAATCATTTATCTAACAGTAGCTTCACGCAAAGTGGTTCACTAGTTTGCTCTGCAGGCAAACCGTTGGTTAAAAATAACTCAGACGCTCGAGGAAATAGCATTCTCTTGGATGATACCGTCATTGATGAAGAATTGCTTTTAAATATAACGACCGAAATCCCACAACAATTAAATACAAGCCGTAAGTAGAAATAAATGTTTTAAGCTCTGCAGTAGCTGAAAACTCTGCCTCCACATTTAGTATGTGCAGAAGACATGGAACTCCTGGATATTCTAAAGCAGTTAGAAGAGCACGAGGAAGATGGAAATCATATCGACTTGGATAGTACGTTAGCACCACTCACACAGGCACATAAAAAATGTAAGCTTCAAAATAGCCACATTTTTTTTTTTAGAATATGAAAAAATTCACATCTTAATGCCCTAATATTTTCACTTAAATAAAAAAATAAATATATCAACTTGTATTTAGTTAATCCCTCACCGGAGTTATTAGATAAGCAAGTGGGAGCAGCAGCTGTCAGTCAACCATTTCCAGATAGTGACACCGATTCCAATGAAGATGAAAATGGGAATCCCCTTGACTTTTCCATTGCCTTAGAGAACATGGAGGAATTAATATTAAAATTTACACAAAGCCAACCAACAGAAGAAGAAGGATCTAGGATAGATTTTCCTCAAGTGGATGGCTCGGATGATTTGGTACCAAAAACTCCTACTAAAACTGGAAGTAGACTGAGAGAGGGTAACAGTAAAAATGTGAAAACATCCCCATGTACGCCAAGGACCCCTAGCCGAGGGAATCTCTCACCGAAGCGATCACCGCGCACTCCAAAGTCGAGCGCAAGCAAGAAATATGCACCATTACCGCTAAAAATCACTTGCAAAAAGACTGATAGTAAGTGAGCGGTTACAAATTTAAAATTTTTAATGCTTAGTAACTATTTTTTTTAATTTTTTAATTAATTTAAGAGAGCGAAAATAAGGGCAATGAAATAACTCCAGTACGGCGTTCAGTTATGAGAAATTTAGATATCGGTTCTAGCGTCTCTAAAAGGTTTGCTCACTGCAGATAAATCGTAGTTAAATGAAAAATAACGGTGACATTATTTCAGTGCGAAAATTACTCTGAGTAAAAAGCTGGCAATATCGGCATTGCGTCGAAAAAGTGTCGATTGGAGTCCAAGTACAATGCAGCAACAGCATATTTCAAGAAACGAAGAAAGCGGAAGTGTGAAACGGTAATTATCGATTTTTTAAAACTCTTCAATAGAGCTAGGCTGGGATTGGGGTGCTATTAAAACACTGCATTTTAAGCCATATCTTGTGAAATAAGATCTTGCATTTGCTAATTGGAAGAACTCGCATGTCCGTCGGCAGTCTTAAAATACCCATAAAGTTGGCACTTTCTGACCAACGTGTAATTTTGAGTTGTGTTTCTTTTGAAGACGGTGTGCGATATATAATCTGACGATATGTATCTATTACCAGTATCTCACTAGATCAAAATATATATTCATTTTTATTATGGCGGTATATGTATGTAAATTCAAAACTTTATCTCGAGTATTCCTTTTTTGAGTTATATCAATATTGAAGTAAATGAGCGACGTGTCGAAGGTTTTCATTTATTTTTCAATGTTGCAGCACACCTATTCGACGTTCTAGAAATACTAAGGACTTAGACAGAACGCACATTACCTGCGAGTTAACACCCCGGAGAAAAAGTGAACGGATCTTAAAAGTCTATAGCATTGAAGAAGCAGTATCGAAGGAAATTAAACCGCCAGCCAATCAAATTCAAAGTATATGTCAGAATTATGAACCCAATTCTGTTACTGAAACATCACATTCGAATAGTCCTCGTGATATAAAAGAAACAGCTGGGCTAAATACCCAAAGAAAGAGTATACGGCTCGTTGATGATAGTCGAACTGTTAGCCGGTATAGTTCTACGACTTCGCAAATTCAACCCGGGAATCCATGTGTAACCGAAAGAACTCAGTCACTCAACATTCGAAAATGTGTAGTAAAACTTAGGAAAACTGTAATTCGAACAAATTGCGTTAGTCCGAAGAATCCTGCAGCGGTAAAGAAAGTAGCTGGCAAAGAGGGCGGCAAAGAGAAACAAATTACAATGCTTAAACAACAGCAACCAACAAATTGCATTTCCATTCCTACAGGCCATGAATATAATTTAAAAGAAAATGACGCACAATTGTGGCTTGAAGAGAATACCGCAAGTCCTCTTAATGAGTCAAACGAAAGTGACGAAATTGCGGCATCAGATATCGAGGATGACACTAACTCAATCGGCGCGAAACGTCTCCGGAGGAGCTTTCATCTGGTACAGCGAAAAAAGATGCTCAAAAACAAGGTCTTTTCAAACAATTACATTCATGGACC